AGCGTCCCGCAGTGGTTTGTCCTACGCGGCGGCCCGTAGAGGCCCCAAGTCACCGCCTCTTCTCAGGGAGTGGTGGAGGTTCGGTCATGTGACATCCCGGAGGCCAGGGCTGGGCAGGTTTAGCCAAGCGCAGGGTTTTGACCAAAACAAACGGCGACGGCTCTGTGGTAGAGTCTATGGCCGAGGCGGTGAGGCCCCAGCGCCGGGCCAAGGCCAAGTCCAGCCGGACTAAAACCAAGGTGAGGCCGCCCTCCTCCCTCCCGATGCCCCGGCGGTGTGCTTTGTCTCCCGGGTTCTCTCTTCGGTCTCTCCAGCCAACTCCACTCCTGTTCCCCGAGCCTCTGCCTCTTCTGCTCCCACCTTCCAATATTTGATCCCACCATCCAGGAACTCAGGCCGTGCCCCCCGATTTCTTCTTCACATCCTCCTGCCACACTTTGTCAGGAACTCATTTATCCTTTTCCCTCCTGTGACCTCACTGGAGTTTTCTTTTTCTGTTCCTCTCTTGGCTTTCCTCACCTGGGTCTGGTTTCCTGCCTGGAGGCAGATTTTCTATTTCCAGCTCCATCTTTGCCTCTCTCTTTTCTCCTTTATGTCCTGAGAACATTTTCAGTTCCTTCCAGGCCTAAGTAGTGAAGGCTCCCACCTCCCACTGGGGGGAAGGTAGCCTTTGGCAGAGCTCTGTGGGTAGCGACGCATATAAAGTAGATAGTAGTGATGTGCCAGTTCTCTTCTTTCAAAATTGAGAGTGATAGTGGTGCTGCTGCTGTTTATTTCTCATTATCCTGGTTATTGGGAGGCATGAATGTCTGAGAATTAACCCAGAGCGGGACCCACACAGTAGGAGCATTACTTGAATTTTCTAGGTTTCCTAGATTAGACTGCATGTGGTATTGCCATGAATTTTTAGTTCATTTGTTTTGTTTTTAGGGACATTCTGGATTTTCATTTTGTTCCTATATATTCTCTACAGTGAACAGATTAAATGCTGCTCCTAGATGGTTAGACCTAGATAATTTGGCTTACCCAAAGCAGAATTTACATTAAGGAGATGATCAGGAAGTTTCTTTTCTGGTGATGTTCCAGAGCAGGCGTAATTTAAACCTGATACTATATGCTGAGTTTTTCATGTGAACGAGACTTTTTCTTATGAGCTGTAACAGCAACTTTGTTGTGAGAGATAAGATAGACATCTTCAGCGTCTTTATTATCTCCCTCTCAGACACAGCATTTATTCAGTGACATGAACAAAAATCTTCTGGATCACATTTGACAACTACTATCCTTACCACTCTATTTTTCAAATGTGGGGAACAAGATTTTTTTTTTTGTTTGTTTGTTTGTTTTTGAGACAGAGCCTCAAGCTATCCCCCTGGGCAGAGTGCCACGGTATCACGCTCACAGCAACCTCTAACTCCTGGGCTCAAGCGAGTCTCCTGCCTCAGCCTCCCAAGTAGCTGGGACTACAGGCGCCCGCCTCAACGCCTGGCCATTTTTTGGTTGCAGCCATCGTTGTTGTTTGGCAGGCTGGGCTGGGGATTCGAACCCGCCACCTTAGGTGTATGTGGCTGGCGCCTTAGGCGCTTGAGCCATAGGCGCCAAGCCTGGGGAACAAGATTTTAACGGAAAGCTAGTGTTCATAGGCAGCATGTTTAACTTACGTGTATTTCTTTTATTATGATGCCTTTTTTAAAAGGGTGTAGTGGAGTGAGGCACATTAGTATACCCAAATCAATGATGAGTTACTCTGGTGAGAAAGCCATTTGGTACCTAATTTCAGAAACATTTTTAAGAGAAATAATTTTGCAAGGTATTGGTATGGTCAAATAGCCAGGGCTACAGGCATGTTTTTAACTGTGGCAGCTGTGTGGGAGGATAGCTGTTGCCCTGGAAGGCAGAGGAAGAAGAAAAAAGCCATTGGCGAGCTGCGCGCAAGATCCTGAATCCAGGATCCGTGGTAATGTATAACATGTAAAAATCAGTTGTCCATAGAGAGCAGCATCTTGATCTTCCCCCCATCCCTAATAAATGATGAAACTAAAGTCTACAGAGATTAAGAGAGCCTAATGTCATACAGTTATCGAGAGAACCCAGGTTAAAGCCAGAATCCTGACTCTCAATCCAGGAGATTAATTTTTAAGTTTTAAAAAACTTCTGGAGACAACGTCTTACTCTGTCACCCAGGCGGGAGTGCAGTGGTACAGTCGTAGATCACAGCAGCCTTACTTCCTGGGTACCAGCTATCCTCCCACACAGCCTCCACAGTTAAAAACACGCCTGTAGTTGGGCTACTTGGGAGGCTGGGGAGTTGCTTTCCCAACATTTCTCTCTCTCTTAACTGTGAACTCACTGAGGAAGGGACCTTGTCTTGTTCCCAGTACGCTTCACAGGCTCAGGGGTCACTTGGTAATGTTTATTGAATGACAAAAATAAATGCCAGTATTGAATATTTTCAAGCTTTGTTACTCAGAAGAATTTACCCTGGTAAATTTCCTCTGACTAATAGCCATGTATGAGAAAACAAATCCTTTTTCTTAAATGGAAAAAGTCCATTTGAGATTCCACCACACCTCATACATGTCAGTCTAGAGAATTAATTCTTTTAGAATAAATAGATTCATTTCTTGGTGATGGGCGTAAAGCCCTACATTAATGAAACCTTTACTATCTGTGGTATATAATTTGGCAGCTGTTCACAGAGCTTTAAAATGGTTTCAAGGCTCAACTGAGGAGGTGGGTAGTGTCATATGCTATTCGCTTTAGATAATTTGAGTGGCTTCTGGATTTTACCCAGTGGCTGACCTACATTCTTCATTGTTAATCGTCGGGTTCATAACCTTAGCTACTTGTTATGGTTAGTATGTCATGCTTATCACCTGCTGCCTAATACTGTTTTCATTCTTTCAGTATCATTCTCTGCTAAAAAATCCCTCAACTCTGAGGACTTGACTTCATTTTTTTTCTTTTTTGGAGATAGAGTCTCATTTTGTTATCCAGGCTGGAGTGCCTGGCATCAGCCTAGTTCACAGCAACCTTAAACTACAGGCTCAAGTGATCCTTCTGCCTTAGCCTCCTAAGTAACTGGGATTATAGGTGCCCACCACTACACCCGGCTAATTTTTCTATTTTTACTAGGGTTGGCATCTTGCTGTTGCTCAGGCTGGTCTCATCTTGAACTCCTGAGCTCAAGGGATCCTCCCACCTCTGTCTGATTACAGGCCCGAGCCTCTGTGCCCTGTCTTGCTGAGGCTTACTTCATTGATCTTGGTAAATTATGGGTGAAGAACAGTAGATCCTTGGGTTTGGACTTACTCTCCAGAAGTAGTGAAGTTTATAATGCTAAATTCTGAGTACCAACAAGTCACTGATAGTAAGAGCTGATAATTGATGAGGACAGACAAATATGTCCCAGAAAGCTGATAAGAGGAAAAACCTTTAAATCCCCATCCTGTCTTGCTCCGTGGCCTTGATTTCTACTCCTAGTCCCTCCCTGCCAGGCATGGTTTATTGACTGAAGTTAGAGGATGTTACATAGTATTATTTAATTTCCTTTGTGTCTTCTAAGATGCATTCCTTTGTTAAACATTCATCGGTCAGGAGTGCCCAGAAAGAAAGTGTGTTCTAGGCACTTGATATGTAAAAGAGAAAAAACCCAAAGAATCTGGCTTTAATGAAGTTTGCATTCCAGAGGGGGTAGACAGAGAAAACAAAAGCCAAACAGACAAAAACTCATAAAAAAATAAAATACATTGTTTTAGAAGGTGATAAGTACTGTAGAAAAATGAAAAAGAACAGGGTACAGAGTGGGAGTACTGGTGAGGCTAGGCTAAGTTGCAGTTTTAAACCAGTGGTCTGGGTAGTCCTTACTGAGGGGGATGTTTCAGTAGAGAAGTGATGTGGCCCTTGGGGGAGAAGTGTTCCAGGCAGAGGGACCAGCCAGAGCAAACGCCTAGGAACTGTGAAGAGGCAGCACAGTTAGGGAGGATGAGTAAGGGGAGAGTTGTAGGTGATGAAGTCAGAAAGGTAAGAGGACCAGGTCTAAGAAGGCTGTGTGGGTCCTTGTAAGAACTTTAGCTTCACTCTTGAGTTCCATGTGGAATCACCTCAGGCTTTCAAGCTGGGGAGTGATGGGATCCAAATTGTGCTTTAAAGGATCACTGTGCTCTGTTGAGAACACATTGTGAGGGAGCAAGACTATCCGCAGAGACCACCTAAGACAGTTGGAATAATCCAGGTGAGAGGGGATGGAGGTGTAGAAGACTAGAATTGTCAGAGGCAAGGTGGTGAGAAGTGTTGGAAGTCTGAGAGCAGAGGGGGGTTGCTGAAGTTTGGGTGTGGGGTATGAGAGAAAATAGTCGAGGAAGAGGCTGGTGGGTGGAGCAGTTTACTGGGAGAAGGGGCGGAAAACAGTTCCGTTTTGGATATGTTACTTTTGAAATGGGTATCTATTAGACATTGGAATGGAGATGTAGAGTAGGATTGGAAATGTGAATTAAGGTTATGGGAGAGAGCTAGAGGCTGGAGATAAAGATTTAGGAGTCATTAACATATAGATGGTATTTAAAGCCAGAAACTAAATTAGGTCACTGTGTCAATGAGTGAGCTTGTAGGTTAAAAAAGTGAACGGAAGTGAACCCTGGGTACTCTCCCTTTAAGAGGTTGGGAAGGAGAGGCAGAACCAGCAAAGGAGAGTGAGAAAGCACCACCACAGAGTAGGCTGTTGTTCACCTGTAATTCGCTGAGCGTGTAGTGTCCTAAAAACTGCGTGAAGAAAGTGTAGGAAGGAGGAGGGAGAGATCAAGCCTGCCACATGCCACTGATACAGTGAAGTCAGACTGTAGAGAGCAGCACCAAAGAAGTGGTGAGTAGAGGTTACATTCATAGCAAAATGTATAATCTTCATCCTTCCCCAAAAGCCTTTCTACTTGTATAGCAATTTACTTAATGTGTTACAAATTTACAACCTTGGCTCCATTCCCGGGATTGGGGGGACCCCAAAAGATCCCCAGACTGTCAAAGTGCCCAGCATGTCTTTGAAAGCAGACAGGTACATTACCTGACAGTTGTTTGTGTCTTCTAATTTTTTTTATTATTGGGGATTCAGAATTGTGGGTACAGGAAGCCAGGTTACATTGATTGCATTTATTAGGTAATGTCCCTCTTATAATTGTGTCCTGTCCCCAAAAGGTGTGTCACACACTGAGACCCCTACCCCCTCCTTCCTTCCTTCTTTCTGCTT